GCTTCACTTATTACATTATACAATCCAAACCTGCACCTCGCTGCATTTTAATGCCCAGCTGGGTTTCAGTGGTAGCTATGGGAGCCTGGTCAGCCAAGTTCATGTCTCGGTGCCGATAGGCTCCAGAGGAGAACATTCAAATTTCAGCTGAGAAGTAAAGCAAACCCATTAGATAAGTTTAACTATTTAACATGTAAATCAAATCAATTTGTTTCTGTGTTTAATAAACCTTGTTTTGCCTTGTTTCAACACATAATACACTCAGTGGAACTGTAGACGTCTATTGCTCAATAGACACACATTTTCACTCTTTAAAGGGTCAGAGTTTATGTACACAGGGTTTGAGATTTTAGCTTCTTAAACTTCTACCACCGCTCTAATACAATAGAGCTAAATGGAATTTGAACTGCATTTCTCAAAACATTGAAAATCTCAACAGCAATACATTTAATAAGATTTAGCCGTGAAGTTGCAGTTTGCAACCATTTGAAATCAGCTGGGCTTCCATGTAGGAGAAACTACGGTACATACTAGCGAAAAAGGCCCAATCTAGATACAGTGGTTGGTTTGTCCGTTCTGGGCTACTGTAGAAACACTGTGGTTCAACATGACAGACTATGTAGAAGGGAACCCCCTCCCTCTGTAGATAAAAATGGGTCATTTTAAGATTAGTGAAGGTACAATGATTTCTTATTTCAGGTGATTTTTAATATTATATTACATTTCTGCCAGTAGATCCTCCTAGATGTTACACACTGGACCTTTAAGTAGAGTTAAATGAGAAAATATGTGGTTTGTAGTGTGGGTGGACAGACCCTTTACAAGAAACAGGTTTCCGAGACTGCACATTAGATTAAATGGCCTGTTAAGATGAACAGACTCTGCTGTGCGGGTGGACCGGCGGGTACAGGCCGTTCAGCAAACACGGCGGCGACCAACTCGCCATCTGTTCATTGTTTGACAAAGACAGTCACTTCTCACAACTTGACCCTGCAGCTCTTCACTTTACTGTCACTGCTGTGTTTGTACAGCACAGTGTGACTAAAGTCGCTGAGTGTTAACCCATCCCCACCGCTGAAGGTCGGGGAGAAGTAAATATAAAAGTGCTGTTGCGCCTGGAAGCCAGAGATAAATAGGATGAAAATGTAATGAGATTTAAATACAGGGCAAATATATCTGCAGTTTGCTTTTCTAAGTCAAAGGAAAAAAACCTTCCACTGCATCAGGTTTGGCACTATTTTCTATTTTCTACTTATGTTCTGAGAAGCAGAAGCCACGGTTGATCTAATTATAAAAAGTGTGTTCTACTTGTGAAATGCTGACTTGTATTATTTCACCATTAACACTTAATCTTTACTCATTGTGAGGTTGAGATGTGAGACATCAGACGGCTTCTCTTACAGTCTTCTCTGCTGGCTTTGGGATTCCTCTGTGAAATGTGAAGCTTTTGGTTTATTTAGCCGGTTGAAGCTGCTGATTCACTGCTGACAGGTCTGGTAGCCCGTGAGAGACCTGCTGTCCAACAGTGGCAGTGGCTAAATAAATAGTTGTATAACGCCAGGCCACAGACGGAGGCGAGCACTATTTCCAGGACAGGCTTGGTTTGCCATGGTGCCACATCACCAAGTTACACCCACCTGGTCTGCACAGGAAAGCTATTCACATGGGTCACAAGGCAGCAGTGGTGGCCCTGCACCAAACTGCACTATTTTTGTTAAATGTTTATGTAACACTACATAGCCCCATCACAGAATAAGTATTTTTAATAGCTTTATATGTATATTTGTTGTATCTACATAGCATTTTCACAGTTTTTCAACTGTTTTAAGGGTGGATTTAAAGTTAGTGATACTTTTTGTGTATCCTATTCTGACTTTATTTTTATAACAGAAACACCGTCTTATACCGAGAACCAGATTAACACACTTTGAGGCCCCCATGTTAAAGATCATCTGTGGGCCGTCCTCGCCCAATTGGTAATAACGTATGTGTCTCCTCAAAAGGAACAATCCCTTTTATTTTAGTTTATAAATTGGTTTAACAGTGCAAACAGTATTATTAATCTAATTTAGAATGAAATAAATGATCACACACCAATTGCCACACAACAAATAAAGAGCCTTTGGGCCCCAGAGGGTCTGGAAACCTGGGGCGGTTGCCTACTTTGCCTGTTGGTAATCCATCCTTGTTTATGCGGTGTAGAGATTACTGTTAAACCCTGTAGAGAATGGACTGTCATTTAAGAAAGGCGCTGTCCCTGCTCTGTCCATGACACTAATGCTTTGACCTTTTTATCACCCTAGCAAGAAGTACCTGAGAACCTGGTAAATGTGGTGCACTTACCTAATTGTTTTATCTGAGCATGTTAAACTGATAAATACCAGGAACAAGGTCAGTGTTTTGTTCTTGGCCAGGTCACCATCACTCATAGCTAGAGAAGTCTACCAACTGTCTAACAACTTCTACAGCAATCTAACACTTACTATAGTATTGATAGTGGCTGGCACATGGCCACAAGGACTTTGGGTCTGTGCTACAACAATAATTACAACAAAGAATGCTTCCTGGAAGAGTGAGGCTAAATTAGGCACATAAAATTTGCCTCAATATAAGGTTACATGTGTTTCTCAAGTGTTTGGTCTCTAGAGGTCTTAGTTTGGGTTTCAAGATTTGCAATGCTTTTCTTGTTTATCTCACTTGATCCATGACATCCTTCAGTATAACTCAAAGATTAATCACATAAGTACTTTTTAAGTAGTTCTCTAATAGTATACAGGCAAATTGAAATGTCATATTTTGTGTCAATAGCTATGGGAAGTATGTGTAATGGAGGGCAAAGCCAAGGCCAAGCCTCGAGTCAGTCTGCCCAGAAGCAGCTCCAGTTACATCCTTTTCAAAAAGACTTTGGACTGTTGTGCTTTTTCTTCCAGAAGTTGAAAGAATCTTGCAGTGGACTGCTCTTTAACTTTGTCACATTTGATTTCACAAGAAAGACAGGCTAATTTGGCTATTAAGAGCCTAATCCCACAAATCGAAAGCAATGGGGATCTCCGTGATTGGCAGACGATCAAAGCTACCCAATCTACTTTGTCTTTAATTGTTCAGCCCACTGTGGTTCCCGACGCCTTGCACGGTCTTAGTTTAAGGGCTTTAAAGTAAAATTCCTTTTGACTAAAGATGATTTCTAAGGATTTTACAGTTCGATAAAAGGCCAAGCTGATCCTTTTGTGCTGCCTTGTTTGGGTTTTCTTTAGTATTAACCTCACAGCATTGCTGCCTTTGAGGTGAGGAACCAAAACTGGAGCATCCAGATGTTGATGGCAAGCTTTAACCCTTAACCCCAACAATAACCATGCAAAAGTTACCCTCGATGAAGGGCTGGGCTATGCTAGAAAAAAATTGTTTGCACGACTTGTTGTCTGTCAAAAATCTGATCTTAAAAGTAAAAGTAAAAGTCTCTCCTGGAAGGCAAGTACTTCCGATGACGTATACTCAAACCCTAAACCCCTAGAGGGTAAGCCCTCCGTCACCCTAACCCTAGTACCATGCTGCTGATACACTGCATGATTACTAGAGAGGCTGAAGCTTACCATGGGCAGCCTTAATCAGCAGTAAATATGGCACATTCATTTGTAATCTCCCACTAGGTAACAGTGGGGAGATTGTTGTTAGCAAAAAGCAGGACAAAAATAAAGGAAAGGTGATTTATGTCTCATGAAACACTGGTCCTACTTGTTCGGGAGCAGTTCTGCTTTTATAACCTCCTCAGTGAGTTGTGATTTACTTAACGCCAGCAAAACTGGAGCATACTTAGTAGAGCCAGTAAATGGCTCTGACAGACAGGATGCCAAATTAAAAACTATAAGTCTGCTCTAAACCACAATATTGCGATGCATGTAGACAAAACACTCACAATCACAGCAACAAACAACAGCAGGTTTCCTCTCCCCCCAGAAGTCTGTTTACCCTAAGCCTTTTGATCCACACTGCCACTATAAGCTACTCCTCTTATATATACAGTATACATGTGCATTCATGCCGCCACAACGGTGTGGCTTTCTGTGTGCAGTGGAAACCTGCTCTTTTAGGATGTAGAGGGTGGAATTTAGGTCTTAGCCATTAATCCATGGTGGAATTCTCTGCCTGCTTGCTAGCTCCTCCACAACCTCCTCAGCTCCAGCCTGGGTTTGGTCAGGTTGACCCCCGTGGAGCCACACAACTGTTTATACCATACATATGTATGTCTGAGAGGTCTAAGCCAAAGTTCCTGTTTACAACATGCAACGAATTAAACAAGACATATGAGAAGAGGTGTCTCTTGAGATGATTTACCACAGAGGCAATCCTGGTTGCGAGCATAAAAGTGGTTTTCTGAGATGTATATTTCTGATGTATACGCCATAAAGAGAGAGTAATGTTCTTGTTCCTTGATAAGTGTAAACATGTCAGAAATCAAGAGGACGGACCCAAAGTGGCTTAACAAACACTAACGAGGCAGGAAGCCACCCTGTGTGAGATGAATTCTGTCTGTTTCTCAGGTAAATATTATGTTGGACGTCTGAACCCCACGCTGTTCAAATCCATGCGTACAAGAGTGGGTTAATAATTTAACAAATTGTTTTGGGGAAAAACATGACTTTATTTGGCCTTGAAAAACAAACTCGGATCCACAACATATATGCACAGACTGACTTGTCATGTCATCGTACCCTGGTCCAGATCGAGCAGAGGCAAGGCAGGTCAATGTAACAGAAGCTTGACCACAAAATCAACTTTACAGGTCCTTGGAAGAAGAAGAGCCGCTTCCCACTTCTGGAATCTGTATTGTAAAGCTGCTTCACTGCTAAAGCCATATTTACCCAACAACTAAGCTATTTTCCCTCACAAAAAAACCACAAGACGTTATGTAAAACGACAATGAAGGGTATGCGTTGCGTGTGATCCTAGGAACATGCAATTTCTCCTTGTTTGGAAAGCGCCTGCCAGGCGTTGTTACAACGCCTATGTGGGATTTTGTCGCGTCCTTATCAGGACAGATAGGGACGACATGGACACAAACACAGAACAGGGAAGGAATGACAGACATCTGAGCTCAGACACACTCAGCGGAGAAAAAAATGTAGAGTAGTCATGTCTGTTATTATCATGCTGTCAGCATTTGATGGTAACAGAACAGCATGTGCCCTATGGAGTTAAGAGAAGAGGGAGAATTTACTGTCCTAATAAAAGCCAGAAGGGACGTTTATGAGAGATGTGCAGAGTGAGAAATGTGGAGGCTTGTGAAGCTGTTGTGAAGGTGTTGGGGAGGGAGATCTCTCACTGTTGTGTCAGTGTGAAATATATTTGTATAGACTGTGATCAGCTCCGTTGCTAAAGGTTCTCATTGAGTGTATTTAGATGCTCAGCAATATGATCACTGGGAGGAATCAGTACCAGGCACATGATTTCAAGTAATGTGGTATCTCCAATGGGATCGATCAACTAATAAGAGGTCTGATTAAAAGGACCCATGTGTAGGATTTAGTGGCATCTAGCGGTGTAGTTGCTGACTGCAACGCCCTTACCTCACCCTCCCATTCCAAGCATGTAGTAGATACTACGGTGGCTACAAAATTAGCAAAAAATGCAAAAAGGCCCTGGTTGCAGTAAAATAAATAAATGAATAAAGATACCAAAAAGATCGGGATTCAACCCAAAGCTACATTGTTCTGACTTGGATGGGTGCAACGTAGAGCACAATTGTGTTTGTGGTGGAAAGCCAGTGAGGGATAATGATCTTGTCACTGTATTACAGACTTCTACTGGTCTGCTGTATCAGTATCTCTCACTCTGACGGATAAAAAACAAAAACACAGCAATGATGACCCATGCTGGTAATGCCCCTGACACTTTCAAACAGAGATTGGAATCATGGGGACTTAAAGTGCTGGCCAGGTGTAGTGAAGGAGCAACAGATACAGGAGGCTTGCTTCCCTTTATTTCACTTAGGTTTCAGCAGCAGGTGTTCAGCATTTGAACACACACAAACATGCGAGAGATGGTCAC